GCTAGCTCCGCATCTCCCAGGTCTGCTGGGGGGAAGCGCTGCACTAGCGGGGGCCCCCCCCCATTCGTAACTAGGGGTCCGACTTAAGTCAGACTGACGTAACTCGGGGACTGCCTGTACTGCTAAAATGGTAAATTTTCTTAAATGACATCAACATGCTACTTTTTCCTGTTATCTTGCTGTAAGCAGGTGAATAATTAAACTGCATAGTATGAGCAATTGTATGGACATCACAAAGTTTGTGTCTACACTGGGCATAATTTTTGCTAAATTTTCCACCATTACAACTGCTTTTTCATCCCATTAGTGGTAAGAGTGAGTGGCAGAGGAGAGACACCATCAGTGTAGAAAACTTTCTACGTGCTTGCCATTGGTTTTAGGTGCTGTTATTGATCTGTCCTACACACCTATTCTGAGCAGGGCTTAAAACACCATTGGCTGTCAGTACCTCATTTGTGCTACACTCTTAGCTTTAATTCAAGTGGAGCAGCTTAAGTGCTCATAACTTAGGTTCCTTTGCATTTGGCAGGGCTGTTTTGTGTTCTTTGTTTCTTGCTCTCACAACCTTTTGATGGCAACTGGCCAGCAGTGTACTTCCTTAGTACCTGATGTTATATCCAAAAATAACAATAGTGCCTTGACTTGATGCAGATAAATTGATCAGCAATGACATTGCTCATGTTGAGATTAAACTGTCATTGGATTTCGGTGTTAACACCTTTCATGAACAAGGTAATTTGTTTCTTTAAGCTTTTGTTTCAGGCTATCTATAGCTCCTCCATTTTGAGGTTTTCACAACCGTTTTGGGTAGAGATCTAATTGAAGGTCTCATTTAAAAAAATTATTGAGCACAATCTCATGGCAAGGCATATGGGTGCATAATCACATTTATACATGGAACTCTGTCTAGTTTTCAAGGTCCTGTGCGCGCGCGCGTGTGTGTGCGCGCGCGTGTGTGTGTGTTGCAGTTATTTAACTAAAAGTAAGGTTTAACTAAAATCAATTGTAAATAGGTACAAATCCCTCTGTGGATACTCTGACTTTGACTTTAATGTCTTGTTTAAAATGGTACTTTGAGTTCGGAAAAACAGAAACAAGCCTGGTTTCAGCTGAAATAAGTGTCCTTCTAGGGTTTTGCATTAGTTTAACTAAATAAATCAGATTAAAATGAATTTGTGCAACTTCTTCATGTAGACAAGTTCCATGTTTCTCATTCATTGCTAGCACAAATGGGAAGATGATGAAATGCATGACAACCGAGAGCTCTTTTGGCACTTGGTCTTTGGGTAGTTAAACTCTAAATTCAGTAGTGCCTGCAAGTTTGGTGTTAAAGAACCATATAATTCTGAGTTTGACTCAGTTAATTGTTTCAGGGTTTTATGGAGATTGTGAACTCTACTTGCAGTGTACCTGAGCTGGAAAAGCTATTAATGCTGAAGTATACAGTGGTCACCAACCAGTAGATCGGGATCTACTGGTAGATCTCGGAGCCTTTGACAGGTTATTCTGACGGGTATGGCCAGAAGGCTGTCAAGTGCCATCACTTCAGCTGCCTCTCTCAGGAGTGCCATACTGCTCCTGCCCTCTGCCATGGAGCAGCTCCCCAGCCTCTTGCTTGCTGTGCAGGGCATGGGAAGAAGAGGAGGGGGTGCTGATGTCAGAATGCCTCTCCCTCCACAGAGTGGGGCGGGGAGGGGAAGTATGGAGAGAGTTTTCCGGCTGCTTTGAGTATGGTGCAGAGTGAGCCTGCCTTAGCCCCACTGCACCACTACCCAGAAGCCACCTGTGGTAAGCCGTGCCCAACTAGAGCCTACATTCCAAACCCCAGCCCCAGTCCTGAACCCTAAACCCCTACCCTAGCCCTGAGTCCCCCTGCACCTAAATTCCCTCCCAAGGCCTGCCCCCTGTACTCCTCCTGCACTTCAACCCCTTGCCCCAGGCTCAGCTCAGAATCCTTTAGCCCAAGATCAGAGTCTGGATTACATTTAAATTCAAAACGTTATCTCATGCTTAAAAAGCTTGGAGACCACTGCAACAGGCACTAGGAGAGTCCTACTACTGACATAATCATCAAGAATAAAAGGTTTCTGGTTAACAGTTATAAAATACATCACAGGGCTCACAGATCTCAGCCACTGAAAACCTTAATAATCCAGGGTTTACACCAGGGGTGGGGAACTTTTTTGGTGTCGGGGTTCACTCACCAACAGAAAAATCATTTGGGCTGCACAAAGGTGAGAAGCAAAAAAAGTTGTTAAAACTCAGCACCTCACTGATGTAGCCCCTGACTGAGAAGGAGAAAGACATTCCCTGCATTCCCCTCACACACCAGTGCCTATTGGATCCGGGGCTAGTAGACTTTGTGAGCCCCCCCTAGGCTCTGGGGTGGGGCCAAAAATGGGGAGTTCAGTATATGAGAGGGGGCTGCCAGGAAGCAGACTTGGAGTGTAGAATATGGGCAGGAGGGAGGATTCAGGAGTGGATTGGGGGTTGGTGGGTCTAGGAGGGTGCAGGAGCACAGTGTCAGTTTGGGGTCTGGGTGAGAAGGCGGGTGCAGGAGTGGCCTGAGGGTGAGGGATCTGGGTGAGAAGTAGGGTGCAGGAGCAAAGTGTGTGTGTGTGTGGGGGGGGTGAAGCGCTGGAGCGCTAATTCTGGCTCACCAATACTGGAGGGGGGAAAGGCCCAAGGAGGGGGCCTGGATCCAGGCAAGCCAGGGGCCAAGATTTTCCACCCAGTGGCTTATACCAATTAAGTTCAGCCAGGAAGTGGATGAAGAATGTAGCATTCATTGGTTAATTTCATGTTTTAGTGATATTACCTACTATGCTGGCAGGTCAATAATGCTTGCATCTATTGTTAGTCAAGTAATCAGTAACTTAAAATTTTCCTAAAGTTCTCTGATGCTCGGAGGACCCAAGAAACAGTTTGCGCTCACAATGTTAGCATTTGGGTATTTGAGCTACCTTCTAACCTGAAATTTCAAAAGTGTTTTGCAGTGTTTCACTCTTGGATACTGCTTGTTAATTGATTGGGCAGCAGAAATGACTTCCTTTTTCTGTTCACTAGCTGAAGCATCATAATCAGCCAGGTAGCCTTAGGGAATTGGAGCAGCCTTCTGTTCATCCAGATGGACCTTGGTAGAACTAGAGACAGGAGTGGTGCAATAGAATGCCATAAAGGTGGGGAAAACATCTAGAGAGAGCCTAGAGTTGGGAGTGGGACTGGAGGAGAGAGGCAACCTCACATTTGTAGAGGACTGAGTTGAATATCAATGAGCAGAAAATGGGAAGATTTGTGTGGCACTAGCTGCTTAAGAGTCCCCCTGGGGTGGGAACAAGGGATCAGGAATTGAGAAGATATTTAATATTTACGTTGCTGTAGTGCCTAAAGGCAGGGCCTGTTGTGCAAATTACTAAGTGATCTAGAAATATAGTGAATGACAGTCCCTACCCAAAAGACCTTGTAGTTTTTAAGGATCTCTTCGAAGTCTGGCTTTGAGGAAGAACTCTCACATTCTGTCAGTATACTTATTTGAAGACTTCATGGCTGTTTCAGGCAAACTCAGCATGTGTGTGAAACTGTTTATGGGTGTGTCTGTTAGCATGGGGGCAATGTGGAGATCTCCCTAGTCCTTTTGTCAGTGATAGTGGCATTTAGCTTACTTTGTATCACAGTTAGCAGTATCTGTGGTCAGATTTAAGTGGCACTCTGATTCAGTTCTCAGGAAATCTAATTGTTAAAACTCTTTTCAACATTATAGTCTACATTGTATTTGCGAGATGAAAAGGCGAGCACTTTAACATATGGAAAACTTAATTTTTCATGTACTTTAAATTAAAAATATAGTTCTAGATTTTTGTCACATTTTCCAAATTATTCCCTGGTTTTGAACTAAACTTTTTAGGAAAAATTTAGATGGTGAGAAGGTAAGAAATCTTATCTTCAAAATAGAAAAAAATCTCATAACTAACTACAGTGTGGTTTTGTGTGACTTAGGGCACGTCTACAAAGCAGGGCAAAAGTCAATTGCATAGCTTAAGTCGAAATAGCTTAATTCATCGTTTGGCGCCATCTACGCAGAAGGAAGTCGAAGGAAGAACACTCTTCCTTTGACTTCCCTTACTCATTGTAAAATAAGGGTTACAGGAGTCTTGGAGTAAGAAGTTCTCCAGCTAGACATTATTTTGAAATAATGTCTTGTAGATACGCTTTTTGTTATTTCAGAATAACTGACCTGATTTCAAAATAACTCTGAGTATGCATATGCTTAGTTTCTATTTCAAAATTTAATGATGTCAATCATTTATTTTTCTTATATAAAACACTAATT